TTTAGACAGGATCTTACCACACTAATGGGGGGGGTGTTGAGCACACTCTGTGGGCCAGGATGGCATTGAACTCACATCGATCTTCCCGCCTCAGCAGGAGGGCTGGGATGACAGGTGTGTGCCACCACACCCGCTTGTCATTACTTATTTTGAAATAAGATCTCACTCAGATGTTATGTGTCCCAGGGAGAACTCAAGCTTGTGATCCTCCACCTCAGCATCCCAGAGTTCTGGGATTCCACGGTGCAGGGATTATACTCATGTCTTCTTGTTTTGAAAAAGTTTTCACTAAGCTACCACCTTGCCTTAAGTGGATACGAATTGCATGACGACCTCAGCTACTTCTTTTTGTGAAAGGTCTCAGTAAGTCACCAAGTTTCCTGGGCTGACATGGAACATGTGGTCCATCTGCCTCAGCCTCCTAGATTGCTAGATTACAGTAACTTTCCACTCCTGACCCAGGTAACATTCCACTCCTGACACATGACATTGGAAGGCTCAATCTCCTTTATACTTCATCAACTCTGTGGTTTTATGTATAGAAAAGATAGGTGCCCCTTTACACTTAAAGCCGAGAGCTTTTGACGCAATATTTATAAAGTGGATCCGTCTCATCCCCATCTCCTTATTCCCTGAGGCTCTCAGTGATAACCTGAGAGCAAAATCCTTGACACTGGGCACAGGTGGATCCAGGTGACCTGGGTTTGGTCCTGGCTGTGCTGACAAAGTGCTTCACTGTGTGAGGGAGGGCCACGCTCCTGGGCAGGCGGGACACCACACTGCAGACCCACGAAAGAACACACGGGAACGCAGCTTAGTGCAAAGGCTCCGAACTTGATTCTTGCTACTGCAAAACACAGAACAGATAGAACACAAGTCCTTGAGTCCTTTTAAGTCTGGTTTACTTCAATTTCTGAACTGCTTTTTCCTCACACCAACCTTATCTCTGCCTCATATCATTGTATTTCAGACTGAGAGTCCTGGGCACTGCCTGTGGACCCATCTTGCCTGGGAAATGTCCCCTGTGGGAAGAACCCAGACACCAAAGTCAAAGGCCATACGTCAGATCCACTAGGATGACCGGGTGTTGGGGTTGGATCCATGTTTCCTCTGGTCCAACCTCCGCAAGGAGACTTGGAAATGTGCTCCCCATGTTTGCCCATCAGAGCTGCGTTCTCATTTCTGCAGCAGCTCCTGTCTTAGATTTCACTTTCTCAAGCCAGTTCCTGTTATCACAGGACTCGGGAGGTTGAAGCAGTATTATTCCTTTGAGTTTGAGTCCAACCTGTTCTACCAAGTGAGTTCGAGGGCAGTTTAAACTGCACAGTGAGACACTGTCTCAAAAGATGAAAGGAAGGAAGACAGGAAGGAAGGAAGGAAGGTAGGAAGGTGGGGAGAGCGATGGAGGGAGGAAGGAAGGGGAGAAGAAAAATTAGTAGCTCTGTGGCAGTGTATGTCTGGTAAGCACAAGGTCCTGAGACTGATTCCCATCACCGAACATGAAAATAAAGTAAGAAAGAGAAAGAAAGGAAAAGAAAAAAATAAATCCTGTTTAGGATGAATATTAGTGTTGTCACTTACATAAATACCAAAGATATAAATTGCTTTTAAGATTGTGGAGGAATCAGAGCCTGGTGGCACTTCCCTGTAATCCCAGCACTGTAATAGTCTACGGAAGGAGAATTGCAGTTTCCTGTCCAGCCTGAACAAATCCAGCAGTTCGTTTCTCAAAATAAGTATTTAGCTGCGTGTGGTACCTCACTCCTGTAATCTCACACGCTGTAGGCTGAGGCAGGGTGATCACAATTTGAGCACACATTCAGGGATAGGCAAGATGCTGTCTCAAGAGAAAAACTGCACTTGGACAGAAGCTCAGTATTTGACCATGAAAGGGTTCCATTCCATGTAGTGAAAAGAAAGGAAGGTAGGGAAAGAGGGAGAGAGGGAGGGTGAATGGGAGGGAGGATGGAAGGAGGAAGGAAGGAAGGAAGGAAGGAAGGAAGGAAGGAAGGAAGGAAGGAAGGAAGGAAAGAAGGAAGAATGGCAAAAATGAGGGGAAGGAAGGATGAAGAAAATGTCTATAGCTGCAAACAGTCCACCAATTCCTTTCCAGGTCAGTCAATGCTCCTCGCACAGCTCCCTCCTGAGAACAAGGCCCTTTGAGCATCTGGGTCCTCCACTGGAGAGTGACTTCTTCCCCAGATGAACTCCTCTTTCATTATTAACGCATCATAGTTGTGTGTGCAACTAGGGTTTGAGCCAAGAAACTGCTACTTAGCTGTGTCACAGCCCTATTGTGGGCTTGTTTTCAGGACTAGGGTTTGAGCCCAGTGCATTTTCAGAGGCTTACATCCCAGCTGTTTTTTGTTTTGTTTTGTTTTGTTTTTTAATTTTCAGACATGATGCTGTTGAGACTCAGCATAGTGGGGCAGACCTGCAATCCCAACACTCCCGAATCAGAGGCAGGAGGATTACCAGGATTAACTGGGTGGAGAGGGACAGAAGCAGGCAGGGACCCAAGTGTGCTGAGACAGGAGGGGCTGGGAGCATAAGGTGTGGCTAACAAGGAGGATAAAAGAGGAGAAGGGCAGAGGAGGAGATGCTCCATCCCGAAGTTCCGGGTCACGCCTGGTCCTGCCTGGATTCCCGGAGTACCATCACTGTCACCTGAGTCTGCACCTGGTGAGTCCCGGGCCTCCATGAGAATGAGGATGCCCCACCTCCCCACCCTCGGCCAGTGTCCTGTGGGGAAAGAGTTTGCAGACGGCACAATGGATTATGTTAATTATGTCTCTTCAGAAAGATAGGCTTGAGAATTTTAGGTATTATGGGGTTTTTAACCTAAGGTCTTGCTATGTTACCCAGCTGGATTTCTCCTCAGTATGTAGCCCAGGCTGGCGTTGTATGCCAGATTCTCCTGCCTCATCCTCCCTGCAATTGCAATATCACTGCATCTACAAAGGCAGATTTTTCTTTTGATTAAATATGTGCAAATTTGCTTTCACCCCTTATACCTCGCTTTGTGTATTGTTTTAGGTCACTTCATAACTGCTTTTTGCGAGAAGGTCTCACTCTGTAGTTCAAGCTGGCCTTGAACTCTCATTGTAGCTAAGGCTGGTTTCCAACTCACAATAATTCTCCTGCCTCAGCATCTCCAGTGCTGGAATTACAGTGGTAGGATACTACACCTGGCTCTGTCATTTCATATATTATTCAAAGCTGACATTTTTCTTTCAATGAAAGCCTTCTATTCAGAGCTCAGCAGGGCCTCCCCTGTCCATCATCTGAATCCCTTCTGATGCTCAGGTAGGTAAATTGGAGGACCAAGGGCAGCTTGGATTTAACTTCACTAAATAGGAGAAAGTTTTCATCTTTTTTTCCCACCCTAAAGGTGATTTCTCCTGAAGCATTTCAGTAACTTCACAAGGAGATAAACGTTTGGTCATTTTTATTTTATCTTCTATTTTGAGAAAAGAAATCACTAAGTCATGTGCACTGGGCTACACGTTGGAAGCCTTCTGCCTCAGTTTTCAAAAATCCTGGAATTGCAGGAGTGGATCACCAAGCCTGCTTTTACTAATGGATTGATTTTTTTGTTTTGTTTTAATCTGTGCCATTTTTTATTTTCTGTCTTTTTGAGAGAGGGTCTTATTATGCAGCTCAGGCTGGCCTTGAGCTCACTTTGTAGCTCGGGTTGGCCTCGAACTTGCAATGATCCTCCTGCCTCAGCCTCCCCAGTGCTGTTATTACAGGCGTGGACCACCACACCTGGTTCTCCATGCCTTTTACTGAAACTTTCAGAATAGTTTATTAGGACATGGTTCAATGTCTATCTCCTCACTCGCTTAAGATATAGACAGGAACTTTGTCCACTAATTTTCTATCGCTTTCTTTACTATGAATGACACAAACTTTTAACACATTGAATGAATCAGTGAATATTGCACCTCTAAGTTTCTTTGACTCCTTCACCAGAGGGGTTATTTTTTGTTTTGTTTTTTGGGGATTTTTATTTTTTATTTTTTTTTTTTGGCATGAAGAACCAAATAACTTTACATCGGAAGCAAGAGTCTAAAAGGAAGGAAAGAGCTGAAAGGAACACAGTTGTAGAGGAGCGTGCGCACCCTGCCTGGTGTTCCCCTCCCTGGAAACAGTTCACGTTCACTCTTCTTTGTCGCCCTCGTCCAGGCTGAGCCTGTCACACAGGCAGTTGGCCAAGCCCTCCACGGCGGCCAGGCCTGTGAAGGTTGGTCAAGTCCTCGCCCAGCTCCCTGAGCACCCGGCCCAGGCCAGCTGGCAGTGTTGCAGAAGCTAGTCGCTCATCCGGGGTTGCTCTTGCCGGCCGCCAGGCGGCGCAGCTCCAGCAGGCTCTGGCACAGGGCGTCCTGCAGACAGAAGGCACATTACACGGTCTGCGTGCTGCTGCGCCAGGGGTCGCTGTGGGGCTGCACAGTGTCGCTGGGGACTACACCGCTGCTGAGCTCCCTGTGCATCCCCAGGAGCTCTCCGCCAGCTCCCAGCACAGGTGAGAGTGCACAGGAAGCAGCGCCAGGTGCTTCAGGCCCACGTCAAAGCCGTCGCGGTAGCCGCCGAGCTCAGGTAGACGTGGGAGGCAGGGAGTGGCAGCAGTGCCTGCAAGTTGACCTCGGCATCGCGCTCCTGTGGTATCTCAGCGGGATGGGCGGGACACGGCTGCCATGGTGGACTCCACTAGGGCGAGGAAGTCAGTGTGAGCAGACAGGCAGCCAGGTCCTTGTGGTGGCCCAGTGCAGCTGAGAAAGCAGTCAGCCAAGGTCTGTGCCAGGTAGAGGCTGAGGGGAACTGAGGCTGAGGTGAGGTGAGTGTCTGAGGCGAGGCGGCAAAAGAAGGTTCCAGAAGTGGGCGGGGCTGGAAATAGAAGCTCCCAGAGCAGGTGGGCAGGAAATGGAAGCTCCAAGAAGCAGGTAAGTGGCAAGTGGGACATATGTGATTTACCAAACTTAGATTGAGGAGTCCTGCCTCTATTTTTGCTAGGGATATGGGTTTTTACTTGACTTTTCTCATGCTGTTTTTGTTAGGACAAGGCTGGTCTTAACAGAATTAACTTGCAAGGGGGGCTGGGGATTTAGCTCAGCGGCAAAGTGCCTGCCTGGCAAGCGCAAGGTCGTGATTTCGATTCCTGGTACCAGAGAAAAACAAAAAAACAAAAAACAAACAAAAAAAACAAAAACAAACAAACAAAAGAACTTGCAAGGTATTTCCTTCTCGAAGACTGCACAGAATTGGTGATTTTCTTTCACGATTTGGCACAATTCACCAATGCAATAATCGGGGTTTGAAGATTTCCTGTTCAGGTTCTTAACTATAGTTCATGAGTGATAGCGCTCTTGATGCTATTTTATATTACGTGAGTTTGGTAGCTTATGGCATTTTAATAACTGGTCCATCTGACCTAAGGTCTTGAATTGATGTGCATGCAATTGGTCACAGCATTTTTAAAGGGCCTTTTAATGACTTAGAGTTATGGATTGATATTTCCTGTGCCATTCTTACTTTGACAATTTATGTCATTTTGAGTCAGTCTCTAAATAGGTCTCTCAATTTATTTTTTCAAGCAACTTTTTTTGTTTCATTGACTTTTCCATTTTCAGTCCTATTGATTTATGTACTTATGCCTATTATTGAATTCTTATTCTTGCTGTGAGTTGATTTTGCTCTTTCATGTTTAGTTTTTTTAGGGTGGAAAATTGGTCCTTGATTTGAAAACTTTTTTCTGATATGTACATTTAATACTAGAAATTCCGTCGAAGCACTGCATTAACTGCAACCCACAAATTTTAAAATGTCTTTTCAGGTTCATGTGGTTAAGAAATTTTTAAAACTAGTTCATCATTTTATTTTAAAGGTAAAATAGCAAAACATATTAACAAGCACACACGTCATTAAATTGTACAGGCTGAGCCTGAATTTCTTATTTTCTTGCCTTGGCTTCCCATACTGCTGCGATTATAGATCTGATCTGCACTGTTTGACTCTCTGTAGTATATTGAAGTTGGAGACTTTACTTCCGTGTATATTTTGTCCGGCACTCAATCACAGAGTGATAAGTTCTCATACTTGGAAGATTTTTAACACCCAATAGCACAGTTAGGATTTTCCATCTCTGAGTTCAGTGTGCTCTATAACAATGTCACGTGGCTTTTATACCTGCTTACTAAGCTTCATCAATTGAAAATAATAACATGCACTTCATGAAATCTCCCTTATATTTCCTGACTGACCTCATGGATGGAAGGCAGATGGTAAACTGGTTGGAACATATGACACTTCCATTGCCACTATAGGGCCTTGAACCATTGATCACAAATTTCCCAAACAAGAAGGGACTGAAATGGCAACACTCAGGAACCACTTCTCAGAGGGACTGCAATTGAAAGGACTAGTTGCTTGAACTGGAGAGGGTAATAGGGTCCTGCTTCCAACAGGGGCACAGATATGGCTTTATAGCCAGCTCTGACCCAAATGGAGGGGTGGGGATTTAGCTCAGTGCACAGGGCCTGCCTGGCAAGCACAAGGTCATACATTCTATTCCTGGTACTGGAAGAGAAAACAAACAAACAAACCAAAAACATAAAACAAACACAAATGGAGATAAACTGAGTACACTTCGTGAGAGCCAGGCCAGGAACCCTGGCCCTGAGTTGGTTTTCATGGGTTAGAGGCAGTCTCTCAGCTTGGTCTCAACAGGTGGCACCTCTTGGTTGTTACCCAGTATCCTTCTCCTTGCAGATATCTCAGGATGAGCAGGCAGAGTCCACTGCCTCTGTTTGAGCTGGCCAAGCAGAGCCTGCTAAAGAGGGAAACCATAGCCAGCACTGCTCTGCATGGCCTGCCCTCCACAATCTTCCATGATTTATTCATGGATGCCTTCATGGGGGAACGCAATGAGGTCCTGAAGATGATGGTGCAGGCCTGGCCATTACCCTTACCTCCCTCTGAGGAGCCTGATGGTTTTGATTAAACGGAGGACCCCACACACTCAGTTGGGAGAAACCACACTGCAAGAGAGAAACCTAAGGACCCTGGAATCCCTACTGGATGGAGCTGATACACAGCTGTCCCTGAAGGTTCACCACAGGTGAGAGTGATATATGTATACTGGAAGGAGGGTCCTGGAGTCCAGGAAAGAAACAGTTTGTGTCAAGGAGCAAAGGACACTGACGTGGGGAGCAACTTCTGATGTTGAGGTGGATCACAGATTTCTTGGCCTTTGCTGATCACCATCCTGGAAGGGGATTCCTGATGAGAAAGCTGCATGTGCAGGATGAGGTAAACTCAGGAGGAATCTGCATCTTCCTGCTCTCACAGGGACTGGAAGTTGAAGCAAGCTGCATGCAAAGGTTAACAGGGTAGAAAAAGGAAAGCAGGAAATGTAGGGGTGCAACTGGTGTCCAGGAAGAGGAAGAGAAGCCCAGGCAGGAAGCTGGGTCTTTATCTCAATTCTGAGTCTGCTTACTTTTTCCTACACAGGACGTGGAAACTGCAGGTACTGGACTGGAGGGATGTACACCTGGACTTCTGGACTGCAGGGCCCAGAGCCATGAGTGTTGCTCACTCAGCAGAAGCCAGGAAAAAGGAAATGGGCAAGCCTGGGTTAAGATAGAAGAGGCCAACCTTGAGAATTTTTGCAAACCTTTGTTTCAATGCCAGGTGTTCATCTTGTGCCACACATGAGAAATTACAACTCTGACTCTTAAAGTGGGCCAGGAAGAGAAAATCTTCAGTGCACCTGTACTCTGAGAAGGTAATGATCAAGTCCAAAGCTGTCCTTAAAATCCTAAAATTTCTCTGAGCTGTGCAACTGGACTCTATCAATGAGCTGGAGGTCTTTCATAAGTGGGATCATGAAGACATGAAAGCATTTTTTTCTCAGCTTAAGAAAATGAAAAACCTTCATACATTTCACTTCAACAGCCTGAGTCCAGGAGTGAACACTTCACCCTCAAAAAACCAGTCCTATTCCCATATCTATGCTTTACACTTAGGACAGCTGGAAAGTCTCCGGGAGCTTCACATGGATGCATTGTTCTTCTTGGAAGGAACTCTGCATAAGATCCTCAGGTGAGTGGGTAGTGAGCTCCCCAGCACAATGGTGGTTACAGTCAATATTTAGAGGGCATATCTGTGCCTTTCTGCTGGCCTAGGAGAAGATACCCAGGCGTGGGAAAGACAAGAGTCTCTGGACCAGGGCAAGTCTCGCAATTCCTCCAAAGCAAAAGCTGAGACTAAACTGAGCTAGGAGAAAGGCAGCACCAAGGAAACAGACAAAATGAGGGCAGACTACATTTCTTCTTTTGGAAGCAGATCTAGGTAAGGTCCTAGGAAAAGGGAAGGGAAAGCATGAATGGAGGGGAAGACTGCACACCTGCACGTTGAACTGGTGGTTGTGCTGAGCAGCTGTGATGGGGAGCCAGCCAGTGTAGGTGTCCTCCTTTGGAAAAGGCAGCTGCGTGATTGTCTTCATTTCTCATTGCTACGGCAAAATCTCCAACACCCATGAGTGAAAGGAGGAAAGGTTTTTTTTTCAGTCTCACAATTTATACAGGATTCGGTCCACAGACAGCTGAATGCAGGCATGGAAAAGACGACGCAGTGCATTGCAGGGTGGGCAGAAAGGAGCAAACTGCCTTCTTCCTTCCTTTACATTCTATCCAGGCTACAAGGCTATTCCTTATGCGATGGACGCCCAGATCGGTGCCGCCTTCTTCAGTAATTTCATTCCCTTCAGGCATGCAAAACCAACCATTGGACTGATCCAGTTACCACACCCATGATCTAGCCACTTCCCCAAATCCCCACCAGTGAGTGCATAACGCTTTGGGGGGACAGCAGCATCAAAGCCATAACAGCGTTCCAGGTGGGGCGTTGAGCAGGTGGGAAGTGCAGCAGTGTGGCTCTGAGGGTGAGGAAGAGTGCATTGCAGGGAAGAGGGGCACACGCTTTGATAAGAACACAGGGCCAGCAACAGTCCATTGGCCCAACCTGGCTGGGGTCATTTTTCCTGCAAGGCACTGGGCTCATCTGGTCAGAGCTGTGGTGTTTGCTTGATGTTGAGGACAGGACACTGTAGAGAATGGGGTCTGAGGAGATCACACAAGTGATGGTGACTTGCATAACCAATGCATTCAACATAGAGTATCCCAGGGATGGTCAGATGGTCCTGGCATCACTGGGGTTAACTGGCTGTCCTACATTGAGGTCATTCCTACAGAAACTCACACATCACCCCCATTCATAGGAAATAACTTCTGTCTCTGCACGAGCCAGACCCCGTTGGAATCTCTCTCCTTGAATTCAAGTCCACTGAAGGAATATGACCTGCGGCATCTGTCCCAGTGTGCCAGCTCAAGTCCCTGACTCTGAGGAGGATTTCAATGAAGTTATTCAGCCCTGAGACCCTCCAGGTTCTGCTACACAAACTGTCCAGCACCCTGGAGACCCTGGCCCTAGAGCACTGTGACATCACAGAGCTCCAGCTCCTTGCCATCTTGCCTGCCCTGAGCTGCTGCTCCCAGCTCAAGACTTTCAGTTGCTATGGGAAACACTTTTCCCTAAGCAGCCTGCAGGCCCTGCTGCACCTAACTTCTAGACTGAGGCAGTTAACCCAGGGGCTGTATCCTGCCCCCCTGGAGATCTATGAGGCCAATAGTCCAACAAATGTTATGAACCCTCAGCAATTTGAACAGGTTTTTGCTGAGCTGGCACAAATTCTGAAGGACATAAGGCCATCTCTTGAAGTCCAGATCTGTACCTACTGTTATTCATGCATGGTATGCAAATTCTGTAGGCTGAAGCCCAGTGGGTACTGGCAAGTCAGAAACGAGGATCCCCATTGGTTTTGCATGAGGTGCTTCATTCTTGTCCCTCTCCTCCACGTTTAATATCTATATATTTTTTAACTCTAGGTGTCCCTTAAAGCCTCCTACAACTACAGGTGGGCTTGTTGGAGGTAACTGGATCATGCAGAGCCTGGTCAGAAGAGGTGGGTCACTGGGGACATGGCCTACAAGAATCGAACTCCCTCCTTCCTTTGTTAATATCTCTCTGTTTACCACATTCAGGGCATGAGTTGTTTCTTCCCTGCCATGAACCTCTGTCAGGCTTGCCTATGAACTGTATTATAACATAAAATAAACCTTTGATCTTTGAAATTGTGAGTGGTGGCTATTTTTTACCAGTGACAAGGGATATAATGAAGGCATGTATGTGTCTGATGTTAGTTCTATGTATCTGACTTTTCAAATGGTCACCAAGGGAACTTTACCATATATGGAAGGACATGTCCATAATCCCAGCACTTTGGATGCTGATTCAGGAGGATCACCTACAATTTGAGGCTTTAGCTGCATGGTGATACCCTATATCAAAACTCAATTAAAAAATAGAGCAATAAAGGAAATCTTAATGTAAACTCTTTCATGA